AATAAAATATAATTATTCACTTAATATTTTTAGTAAAAAAATATTTATTTACATATAAATCATCAATTCCAATATTCCCCCTTACATCGATTTTCTTTCAGTGTATGCCCATCTAATCAATTGCGCCTTATATTTATAATTAATTAATTATATTATAATTTTCTGTACATAACTCACATTTGATTGTCTGGCAGAAGTTCAATAAAATGCCGTTGTTTTGTTTTTGCTGTTGCCTTGAATCAATTAGTATTATAAATTGGATGGATTTATATTAAATATGCAAGAGTGCGTACCAAAGTTCGTTTTAGCTGAACGCTAGGGCAGGGCAAAGTCAATCGATTTCCTGCCGCAGGCGAGCAACATTCAGCAAATATTTGCATATGCCAAGCTGACAGATTGTTTAAACAATTTTGTCTTTTGACGCATGCAAAAATTCCATTTGCAAATGCTTCAGATGTCATATGAGTGTGGCCGGCCTTATCGTTAATTACAGGCCACAGGTAAATAGCAGAGCATTTGAACTGAAATTATTAATGCAAATGATTAGCTGTTGACATCTGCACGAACACACAGACAGATAGAAACGTATCTCAAAGATACAAATTCATAGACAAATAAAGCAAGGATTCCGCCTCAACTTGTTTAATCAAATTTTAATTGAAATTTTAATTCGAGCTGGCAAACAACAAATCTGCAAATTCAATTCTGCTCGCTTGACCAAAAATTGATTGAGAACAAGAGCCAATAGCTAAACAATTTCATAAAATTTTAGCATATTTACAAACAAATTTCCGTTCAAATAATAACGCCAAGATAAATATGTAAAAACACGAAAACAAAAATTAATTCAAATTGTAATTAATTTGTTTCCTATATTGATTTCACATATGCAAAACATTCGCCATTCTCCAGATTTTTGTTGTTGGCAATTTAAAACATTGTAAATTGAAGTATTTTTAGCATTTGGGTTTGCATTTGCATTTGGAAAATGCGATTAAGCAAATATGTCAAAAGCGTTTCAGCTATTTACTGTGTATTCAATATTTAAGTTAATTTTAATGTTGTTTGCTTAATGGCTTTTTTATGTGCGCTTGGCAAACGCGGCGTATGCGTGATGTGGCCAATGGAGGACCAGTCTTCGCTTTCAAGCCAGGTTCAATGGCTGCATTGTGTGGCTCTATCGCATGCAATTTGCACGACCAGCAATGCCAACAACGACAACAACTACAACAACAACGACGACAGCAATAACAACAACATCTCATTGCATGCAATTAAAAATAATTATTATCAATTTACGATGACAACAATTTTCAATTTAAGTTTTATTTTATTTATTAAAAGCGCTCGATGCATTTGCACAGTTATTTCTCTCTATCTCTCTCTCTCTCTCTTTCTCTCACACACACATACACTCTCTTTGTTATTGCTGCTGACACTTGTCATATCTGCGTGTGTGTGCGAGTGTATGTGTGTGTGTGTGGTTCTCGCATTGCTCTAATATCAGGCGTTCGGTCAACTTCAATTTGAGCTGCCTTCCTGTGAATTGATTTTTATTGCAATATTGGAAGCACAGTTTCCGTTTGTGCCATTGAAAAGCTCGAGGCAACCATAACTAGTGAGACAGATAGAGAGAGAGAGAGAGAGACAAACAAAGAGAAAGAGAGGGGCGTGTGAAGAGCGGTTGAGCCGCATCATTGTTGTGGCAGGAAGCTGTTGGCGAACGAGTGGCATCAATTGTTGCTGCTGCCCCACTAAATGCGAATGCGAATGCCAATGCGAATGTGCAAAAGGAGGCGTGCCATGTGCAATAATGCCAATGCAGAAAAAAGAATATCGTCAAATTAAAAAGAGAAAAACTCAGCTCGGAACTATCCAACTATCCATCTATATAAAACTATGCATAGCAATTAAAAGTGCCACAGAGCTCCATTGATTGCTGACGCTGAACGATCGCCCTTTCATTTTAGCTTATTCATTTTATTTGACTTTTGTGCAGGTGTAAGCGAAAATGCCAAAAGGTGAGCTACAATAGCCAAAAGCTAAAACCAGCTAACTTTCATGGATGAAAAAAGCGATATATAGAATTCTGTAAAATTGTGAAAACTTTTACATGCGTATAATTTTTATGATATAAACTTTGGCAACCTTAGGGCATTTCCAATTCGTTCATATAGTTTTTCACCTGTTTTGTCTTCAATTTTGTGGTTGACTGCAAAAATCCGTTGAATTTCAATTAAATTGACGCCTGCAATCAAAGCAAATGAAGATAAAACCGGCTTTGTTTTGCAGCTCATTGTCAGCTGAGAGTCCTCTGCGAGTGAGTGAGGTATTCCAGGGATAAGTACACTGAGAGAAAAGTAGTCGACTACAGTGCTATTTAAGTGTATGTAGTTAGCCTAGGCCTTAACTATAAATAGTAATAAGAACAAACTTTATTCAGTCTAACCACACTCATTATAGCTATAGCTGCTTTAGTTGTAAGCAATACTATCATAAATCAGTTATATTTATACTAACATTATTTATATCCATCAACAACTCACCTTGGCATCCATTAGCTCTACTCGTACTACCAACATTAATAATATGCTAAACAGTTTTCGATTCAGCAATTGTCCGTAGTTGGGGAAGCAAAGTTAAGGGCCAAACAAAAAGCTGAAGCCTGTCAGGTCAAAGGTCAACTGAGTGGGAACTGAACCTGTGGCTACTTTTAATTGAGTTTTGAACGCTAATAAAATGCGTGTGAAAGGCGAAAAAGCGAAAATTAATGCGCTCGGTTGGCTTTACCTTCCCCACTGTGTGTGTGCGTGGGTGCGGGTGTGTGTGTGACTGTGATTGTGATTACGATTGTGTAACAGAGTCGAGGCGTGTCGGCGAGCTGTGAAAATATTTAAAATTCATTGGCTCCGCTTCGGCCTTACATTTGACTCCTGTGACGCCAGAGCTGGAGCGAGCTTACACCGGCTCCAGTGTGCCACATCCTTATGCAAATCGCATTTTAATAAACTTGTGTTACGTCAATTTTCATTTACAGTTGGTCCGCTGGGAGCTCAGCTTCCATCTTCAAGCACAAAAAAAAAAGAGAGAAAAAAAAAACAATACCCAAAAAAGTTCTAATTAAATTTAAATTAACTTTAAGCATTTGGGCTTTTGTTAGCTCTGCTTTTCAATCTCCCCAATACCCTGTAGGCTATCTCTGTAGGGTATCTACGATTAATACGCAATTAGAGCAGAGGATATCAGAGATATGAGTGCTTGGTGCATGCGAAATCCATTTTTGGTTTATTTATTCATGTTCTCTGTGCGCCTTTTTGATGGCTCATTAAAATGCGGAATTTAATTTCTTTTGTACTTACTTATATGGCCATCAAAAAATTGTAAGCTGCGAAATTGAATTGAATTTAATATTAGTTGCCTAATGGCGCACACATGCTGCATGCGCACTCTCGCCGGCGTCTTCAAAGCGACGCTTTATGCGGCTGGGAATAGGCGCGTGCCGGTCGTGCCAAATATTGCCCACGGGGAGTAGGACGCTCCAATAAATATATACGCGTATGCAAAAGCATAGACGAATGTATGAAGATAAAATGACAGGGCTTCGAAATCAAGGCTAAATGCGTTAAGTGATATTTAAAGTACATTTAACAGCCGCCAAACGGCTTGGCTGCCCCGGCTGCCCTGGCTGCCAGCTCGAGTTGCCTTCTTCGCCTGCCTTATCCGCATTACGTATACGCCGCTTTCCCCTCGTTGACTTCGGCTTTGTTGTGCTGCTGGCACATACATACATACAAATATTTTTTGGTCGGCTACATTTTTTTTCCTTACTTGGATCACACAAAGCGGAAAAGGAAACAGCACACGTGTATTGACAAATGAGCGGGAAGTAGGCAGCAAACAGATATAAAATACACATGCACACAGACACACATACATATACATCGTACATGTGCAGATATGTATATGAATGAGCGTACACATGTTTGTAATTTCCTTTGCCAATTGTCGGGCTCTAGGTGGCCTAGCCCTTGGCTGCTGATAGATGACTTCGGGGATCAACTGTGACCGCACAAATGTGCGACAAATGTGCCGCAATTTTTGTGCTCTCTGCGGCCTTGACTTGGGCTCCATCCGGCATATACATACATATATGTATACATTCTCTTTTCTGTTTCTCTAGCCCTTCTTACTCGCATGATTAACGGCTGCACAGGGCTAAGCTAAATATTGATATTTGTCAAGCAAAGTATTGTAATATGAGCAACAGATGATGATTGAATTACGCTCTAAGTTCACTTTGTCTCCCATATGATTCACATAAATCTAGCAGCGCTTAGGTTTGCTGTAATTCATCATAAATCTTGGCAATTCAAAATCGAAATGTCTTCGTTGACAATCTGCACGTTAAGCGGTAGCATGTGCTCTCTAATCCCAGTTAGAGAGTGAGAGATAGAGAGAGAGAGAGAGAGAGAGAGAGAGAGAGAGAGAGAGAGAGAGAGAGAGAGTTTGCAAAAAATACTTTAAGCATAAGCTGATTACAATAAATTTTAAGAATATTCAATTGAATTATGCCATTTTATTTTATTCTTAACGCAAGACAATTTGAAAATCTTTATGAATGCATATACATTCATCTATATATAACTGTATTCAGCTCTCTTCTACCCGTTTAGATATCCATTGTTACTCAATTGCTTA